AGTATTGTGAAGTGTAAGTGTCAAGGTTGTATGTGGGATGAGATACTGCAAGGTCGCTCAGATATAGCCAGGACTGTTAGGGTCTTCGACCAAAGCCTTTGGCTCAGATGCGTGACTGCAAGGGAGCGGTGTTTGGCGGTGAATACAAGTGCATTACCATTTTCATAGAACAAGACGCCACATATATTTCAGCCCACGACCTGGAGATCAGGAGATTGTGTTGGTCAGACCACTGACCATTGAACAAATGGGTTTGGGAAACTCTGTGGGTGTCGCACTGACGCCATCCAGTATAGCACAGAGGCATACGAACCGCCACACCGTGGTAACGTCCACTGATGCTTCTACCCCAACCAACAAAGTTAAGCTTTATCCGCCACCGCAGTGTAAGTTCTTCTCTTGACAGACAAGCTCACGCCACGTCGGCGCCATAGGTGACGTAGCTTGGCAAAAATACCCTGGGCTTTCTGATTCGAGAAATGATCGCATCTCTAGCCAATCCACCGGAACTTATACAACTGCCCAGGTAAACAGATTTATCTACCAAGTCGACTGGCTCACGTGCAAACATGAGTTGTGAGTTTGATTCCACTCAGTCTTGTAGCAGCACTTTACGCTAGCAGGTGTGAAGCGCATGCCAAACCGTGCAGCGGAGTTATTTAGGTTATTTAAAATCGTTTGGATTTGGGAAGGATCTGAACCAAGGAGAGTAATATCGCCTGCATACTTAATGTCTGTGAGCGAAAGCCCCGGGAGCATTTCGACTCCCGAGGTTTCAGAGGCAGGCAGTGTTAGTGGATCATCTAATGGAATCATGAAAGTCCGAAATTCTATCGAGGTCATCTCACTGAAATAAAACAATAAGACAATGAAGCGATGTGAATCAAGAAGAGGAAAAGTAATGAAGCGCTACACTAAGTTTAGTTGAGACAACCTGGTGCATCTAATGAAGACCATGATTAAGGCAAGGTAGTGCGATCAGCCGACGATTAAATATCACATGATAAAAACCCTCGGGTTACGACCGACGTGAGCAACCCGAGTATGTCTTGGCTTCAGTTGGGGTCAAGCTTGTTTACGGATGGCGACTGGCGATGTTTTACTCAAACAAGTGACTGGATAGCAAGCAGGTACACCAACAAACCAACACTTCGGTAATAAATGAAGGGGCTACTGACGCAATGCGAAACAAGGCTGAAGTCCATGAAGTGCCATAAACTGCTCAACTGTGATAAATACCCATCGAAGAACGTTCTAGAGAGACCATGTGGGAAGGCTTGCATTTACAGGAATCAACAATATTTGACTTTTGCGGAGCAGCTGACTCCATTCGAGTCCCCATTGAAGAGCATGGAATCCAGATGGTACTTAAACAGGAGAAGAGGCATTTAGAGAAGATAACGCTAAAGGACTAAGGTGAAATGTGCTAAAGCCCCTGTGTAGGAAAAACAATACACATGAAAAGTAATACACATGAAACAGCATTGAAAGCTACGGAATGCTAAAAACTTGAACTGTCATTCCAATGCGCTTGTTCCCCAATTGGCAAAGTTGTTGATTAGCTGCTTGACAGCATGCCTACTGCGGTTCTGGGATTTGAGGATCTCAATGAGTTTTGGGAATTACAGGATTATTTTCAGGAATCTGCAAGCATCAAGCGGGATTCCGGTCTGGTAAGGGTTATGTTGATTAAAAAAACTTCACACTGTTAGGTACTGGAACAACGCCATACATACAAACGACTCACAACCCTTAGTTCCTGGATTTCCAAGGTGTATTCGGTTCGTTTTACCGGTATGTTCTACATAACACGCTTGCCCAGCAAGGAACGACCCGGGAGTTCACGAACATAATAAGTTTTTGTATTCTCAAATTTGGGGATGTGAGAGTATATGCAGAGCTCTCCGGAAGGATTCATACACAAAGTGGCGTCCGTCAGGGGGTGCCCACTCAGAAATTGATAGTATGACGAACGCTGGAAGATCCTCAAAATCATCCCGTCCACTGGCATGCACTTTGTACCCGTAAAAATGTAAGGCCATGCTTCTAGATATGCACACACTAAACATGCTAACTGAGATCCAACGAGGAACACTCGAATTTGTGGGGCGTTTTACGTACCTGTGATGTGACGGATGATGTCGGTGCACGAAACTCTGAGACTTGGGTCACGTTTGCCCATTTGAAACACCTATGGTGTCACATGGCCATTTCGGTTCCGTTTATCAGCTATAAACCATGTAGCAAGGATACGCTGGTTCCAGCTGATACAGTTTCGATGACGGGAATAGAAAGATACAGCTAATTACAGGAAACAACGACTTGTTCAGTTATTTCGAGAACTGGGCAGCTAAACGATGAAAAAGGTAGCTTTAATACAAGAGCGCTAGTGCGTGACTGAACCACGTCTGCCAAAGTCATTAAGCATTGATGATTTAATTCCAACGGTCGTCATCTAGAGAGACGGCATTCGATGACCCGAATGAGTTTACTGGTTAGCATTTTCATACCCTACTGTCAGGTCATACGCTATTCACCTCTCGGTCGCTCCCATTTAGCGCGGTGCGTAGCAAGAATAGGTCTGCGATGAACATGCTTACCTTCCTTGTCCACTATTATTCCTTTGTTCACAATAAGGCTTTCCAAAAAATTATGCACGGGCAGCGAGAAATCAGTGTTGAACACCTTTGCTATCCTGATGATGATGATATCCGTCTGTCACTTAACATACAGGCACCGTTTGCAGTTGGATTTTAATCCTCAAGATAAGCAGAATAGTGTTTACTTGGTGTTTCTGATGTTGCGGATAACCACCAGCTAATGATGCTCGGTGGTTATTTGACAGTTATGTAGCCGTCACATAACAGGAAATCCCAGTTTTCTCGACCGCTTTTAGTGCTAGAGTCATTAGTCAAGCCGCAGTGTTAACCTTGATAACTTCGAAATGTACTGCGCTGCACATGTTGCGTTGTTGAAGGAAATGAAAATGCAACTTAATAGGGCCCAGCGATGGAAATATAGCAGAGATAAAATAGACATGTCAAACAGTCAGCAGCCACTCCAAACAGAAGGTTGGAATAACTGTAAGGCATGTTGCTTAGGAGTTGGACAATGGATGTAGTATGAGCATTTCATAAGAACAAGCGCAACCGTAATTGTGCAACCAAATATGTCGTCATCCCACTGCTCTAAAGCACCGAGCTTAGGGCTCTCTACTTGAGTGGTTGTCCGCTAAAATTGTCATTTGTGCAGTTTATTTCGCAACGTCTGTTAAAATATCCTAAGACGAGCTGATAATCACTGCCTATTTATCACATCTGCTTACTTCACAACGGGTTGTAGCTGTTGTATTCCCAAAGTCAATGTGTACAACGTTTAATTTTTTATTAGCATTTATTATTCTTATTACTTATTTACGTTTTGAGCGCTGGATGAACCTAAGGACAAACATTTGTAGCTATCCAGTCACCCACATACTCGACTGTTCAGCTCAGTCGCTCACTGGATCAAGAAACTTGTCTTTTTTCATACTCACAAAGCACGTCACATTAAAGTGACCTATCGGATATCGACTGTCTGTACCGTCTAGTAAGCGAGGCAACTACTCATGTGTTGACACGCCTACGTACACGCAAACGGACCTACATATAGGGAAACCGAACACAGTCAGCACACAGACTCGCGCGCGCGCAGGAAGCATGAAATCAACCACTTTCCACAAGTCCACGAACAACTATGAAACACGTGTAGCAGCCATACTGCGGAGAAAACACGTTTCCGCCGTCCGGACTTTCACCACGGAACTTTCACAGACGATAAGTTCCTCTTTTGACTTGCTCCCATTTTGCATTGTATTTATTTTTATACGTGCGGCATCTCACCATCGTCAACTATACTAAAAACCTTTATCAGTTCATAAACCTTCTGATTTGTATTATGGCCATCATCAGCAGCTGATGATGGGAAGGTAGCTACACATTCTCTGAATATTTTAGGCATGGAACAGTCACGTCTCTAATCCATAAACTAGGACAAATCGGAATTCGGCGTTGCACTTTCTAACCCTGACATCAACCTAACGTCACATCGGTGTCACAAATGTCGAAAGTTGGTAAAAGGTACACTGGCCTCCCAAGTCGGGAAGTGATCTCGTCTTTCACCAATTCGCTGACATATACAGCTGCTCAGATAGACTAAATTATCTACCAAATTGATCGGTTCACCTGCAAACATGAGATTTGGATTTGGCCCCACTCAACCTTGCAGCAGCACTCTAGACTGAACAGGTGCGAATCGCATACTGAACTGCCCAGCAGAATTGTAGGCTATTTAACATAGTTTGCAGTTCTAAAGGGTCTCGTCAAAGGATAGCAATATTGCCGGCGTACTCAATGTCCGTGAGCAAACGCTCCGGGAGTATTTCGATATCCGAAGTGTTAGAGGCAGGTAGAGAATATTCGAGGAGCACATCGATTACGATGTTAAAGAGAAAAGGCGGTAAAGAACACTCTTGACTGACATCAGTGGATGTAGTAAACTTTGGAGAGAACTTGACGTAGACACGCCATGCCCACGGTAGGGGGCACATAAAACCTCTGTAAGAGACGATAATCCAGAAGGTACAACCTTCATCACTGGACACTGCAGCAGTTTCCGACGAATAATCGATACACGTCCCATTCATCTTGTGACTACCGTTCCCACTGGTTGGCCATTCTTGCTCAAGTGCAACCGACCTAACGCAGTCTGTATACACGTAGCCATGAAGTTCATGAACCGGATACTTGTGCTCTTTTTAGTCTTAGTGAATCTTTAGCCTTCATAATCACAGCAATTCGGGAACAAATCTTACAAATATGACGCACTGGTAGCAACAGTTCACCTGATAATGGTGCAAAAAGACAAAATTTCGTTAGTGGGTTCATACAATGGCTAGCCGGACACATCAGAAGACTTGCGACCACCTTCCTACACCATACAAAAATGCCTCCACAACTCACTTTAACAGGGGTGAAGTTGATATCAAGCAACAAGTCGTATAGAACCCGGGCTGTGTTCGTATGGATTCTGAGTTTCGTAGGGACTGTGCTCTGAGTATAGAACTCGAGTTCATATTCCTCCAGGAAATTGTTAATTACAGTTGACACACTATGGTTGCCTGGTTACCGATAAAAAAAGCTGGTGAGATTTAGGCATTACCGACAAATGAAGCCATCTGGGCGGCTGTCCGTCCTATTTTATTAGTATCGTTGATACGAGCACCCCGTTGGAGAAGCAACTTGGTCAGCGGACGATTTCCTATCCGAAACGGTTAGACGAAAAAAACCAACCTGTGATTGCAGCGAACATCAGTGCAGTGTAGCCCTGCTTCTGATCTCTGGAATTCACGTCGGCACCATTTTGCAGTAGGTATTCGGCGACATCCATATGACCTCGAAAACATGCCTGGTGTAAGGGAGACATTCCACTCTGCAGTAAGTTATTGGTTGCAAACAGTCAAAGGGTTGCTTACTTCATTGACCTCATTCACAAGTGTGCTGTCTGCCGACAACAACAGCTTTACTTTGGCAAAATCACCTGAGGAGGTAGAGAGGAATCGATTGTAATAAAGTTACGGTTTTACACAACATACTTTGGGACACACGCCAAACAAAACTCTAACCCAACAAGAACATTTGCATCAGTATCGTTGAAGTGGCGCGCAGAAATATTTAGACACATCTGCCGATACGGCAGGAATGAAGAGGTCAACCACGTTAGATGGCTAGACCCTTGGGTTCTCAGTTCTATGGGGAGAGAATCAGTGGCTTTTGCCTAAAATGCCGACTTCTACACATTAGGTCAAGATAACAGAATTTTGCGAAGGTGGGCTGATGTAGTACATGAAACAACATCCAGGTTTACCTATTTTGCACACAACAGAAGTAACAGCCTACCTTACCCGTTGAAACTGTGAAAGGATGGAACTTTCTCGTAGAGCCAACGAGTCTTAAAAATGACCGCTCACTCCATTCATGTTCACCTTCGTCGTTGATGTAATAATGAGACGAACGCTAGTTGGTCTTCAACCACGGTGTTCACTTTGTTGCTGGCGAGAACCTTGTCGATCTGGAGACCGCAGACGACATAGTCTCCATTTTTGAAGACGAAGGTGAGACACAAGCCGTTTTGAGTAGAAGTGTCAATTCTTCTTGAAAGCGTTCAACTGTAGCACCCTTCCGGTGCCTAGCTGCCATGCCACCCGAAGGAAGCACGAGGGCTGGGATACTGCCAGGTCGCCCAAGCCTAGACAGGAGAAGTCGAGAGGCGGAGGTCGGATTCGAACCACGGACCTTCCGGTCGGTAAATTGGCGCTCTAACCACTTAGGCCATCTCGCCCCCAATTCTTCTTGACAACAGTGAATTATCTTGGTTTCATCTGTGGCGTCTCTGGTCGTCATCCTGACCCGGAAAACGTTCAAGCTATACAACAGAGGCCACCTCCTAAGGATGTACCATCACTACATACCCTTTTCGGATTAATCAGCTATTATTCGGCATTCTTGCCTTCGCTACACGACATTCGATCTCCACTAAATCAATCGCTTGAAAAGGAGGTCCCCTGGCGTTGGTAACAAGAATGCGAAGGAGTATTCTGCAGGCTAAAGGCGATGCTCAGTTCAGACTGCTGCTGACCCACGAGGACCAAAATCTAAAGATCGTTGTGGCAGCCGATGCCTCCAGCTTCGGAGTCGGTGTCGTCAATCTGCAAGTCTTCCCAGATGGATCGGAGAAGGCCATTATGCAAGCGTCGAAATCGCTAACGCCAGCAGAACAGCGATATGGACAGGCATAGAAAGAAGTGTGTTCACAAGTTGTTATACGGTCGACGTTTCACCCTACTTACCGATCATAAACCCTTACTGTATATCTTCGGTTCAAAGAGAGGGGCTCCCGCATTGAAGGCAATAACTTGGATGCACGAGCGTAACTGAGGGCGTGATTGGACCATGTCTGACGAAGTCTCTAACCATTGATGTGACCCCTCTGGGGTCCCCATCTAGGAAGACGGCAGTGATTAGCGCAGCTGAGTTTGCTGATAATGGCTTTCATACTGCGCTGCCAAGTCATTGTTTGACCCCCTTTGGCTCGTTTTCACCCTTCAGGTGTGCCCGGAGGCCAGCCGTCCCTAAGCACTGAACATCACATCATTTGGACGCATTTGTCAAGTGCAGGACGCGGACCAAACGAAGGTAGCCCTGATTGTCAGAATGCCAGCCAATCGGGATCGAGCATCTTTGACTCGACGCCTCTAGCCTCCTTACGGAGAATCTACACGGGGAAGATTTCTGAAGCCCTTCAGAGATTCCTGACTCTGTACAGAACGACCCCGAATGATGTTTTGACGAACCACCAGTCACCCGCAGAGGAACTCATGGGTCGTAAGCTGAGAACTGTACATTCTTCCATGTTGCCAACTTCAGCATCGGTATTTTTCTGGGCTTAGTTCTCGGTCTGAGCCTCCCAAGCTAGCGTTCACGTCAAAACAACGACCAAGGATGTACAAGGTATATTAACGCTCAAAACGAAGTCAGGAACACTTGTACATATATACATATACACTTATATATATAT